ATGTGTGGCTGTTAAACTTTTGTCACATGGGTTTCCACTACCAACATGGCTTGTCAACTCATTCAAGGTAGAAAATCCTTTCATTTACAGTTACCAGTAAAATGTTCATGGCATAAAAAGTGCGCTCATGGGCATACCAAACAGTGAGTGCACTTATGGGCATACCAAACAGTAAAAGTGCACTTATGGGCATACCAAACAGTAAAAGTGCACTTATGGGCATACCAAACAGTAAAAGTGCACTTATGGGCATACCAAACAGTGAGTGCACTTATGGGCATACCAAACAGTAAAAGTGCACTTATGGGCATACCGAACAGTGAGTGCACTTATGGGCATACCAAACAGTGAGTGCACTTATGGGCATACAAAACAGTAAAAGTGCACTTATGGGCATACCCAACAGTAAAAGTGCACTTATGGGCATACCAAACAGTAAAAGTGCACTTATGGGCAAACCAAACAGTAAAAGTGGCAGATGATAATGCATCCAAATTAAATATGTTGTTTGCAATATATAACTATTAAAGAAAAGCATTCAAAATTTGCATCAAAATATCTGACATCATCAAATCATTGATGTGGTTTGAAAGTAATTGCAATATAAAACAAACATTTTTCACATATTTAAGCATGTGAAATCCAGTACGATTTAGGGTAAGTAAAGACTACTTTTCAATCATCCATAAATTCATGTGTGACAGTACAATTCATAAATCATTTTGATGTACATATAAAAGATAAGAAGATTTGGTATGATTGCCAATGAGAAAACTCTCCAGAAGAGACCAAATTACATGGAAATTTACAACTATAGGTCAATGTACACCTCGAAAAGACAAATGTGAAACAATTCAAACAAGAAAACTAATGGTTTGCAGACATAATTTAGCACCAATAAATGAAATGTAATATCTTACATTTTAAAAACTAGGTTTTCTATTTCTAGCCTACTTAAAGGACACACAGATGCTATTGTCCTCTCCTTTGGGATATAATTTATTTGTCCAAGGGGAATAACTAGAAAAAATCTTTTATATCTCTTTACAAACACCTTGGACAAATGAAGGCTTGAGAACAAATGCAATGCAATTTCGAAAATAATTAATGCTCATGGGGCATAACTCTTAAAAAAAAATTGATTGTCACTAATTAACAGGATTTCACAAAGAAAAATTGGTTATTGATTTTGGACTGTGCGGCAGGCAGTATCTGTTCATTAACATGAAAACCCTTTGAGGATTTTTTTTTTAAATTTAGTAATTAATAAGTATGTGTATAGATTGTCTATCAATGATTGTATCTGCTTATTTGATTTTAGTCAGGAGTTGTCAAAAATTTCTTTATAACTACTTTTTAGCTCACCTGGCCTGAAGGGCCAAGTGAGCTTTTCTCATTACTTGGCGTCCGTCGTCCGTCGTCGTCATCGTCATAGTTAGCTTTTTACAAAAATCTTCTCCTCTGAAACCACTGGGCCAAATTTAACCAAACTTGGCCACAATCATCATTAGGGTATCTAGTTTTAAAAATGTGTCCGATGACCCCACCAACCAACCAAGATGGCCACCATGGCTAAAAATAGAACATAGGGGTAAAATGTAGATTTTGGCTTATAACTCTGAAACCAAAGCATTTAGAGTAAATCTGACAAAGGGTAAAACTGATTATCATGTCAAGATCTATCTGCCCTGAAATTTTCAGACAAATCTGACAACCTGTTGTTGGGTTGCTGCCCCTGAATTGGTAATCTTAAGGAAATTTTGCAGTTTTTGGTTATTATCTTGAATATTATTATAGATAGAGATAAACTGTAAACAGCAATAATGTTCAGCAAAGTAAGATCTGCAAATGAGTCATCATGACCAAAATTGTCAGTCGACCCCTTTAGGATTTATTGCCCTTTATAGTCTTCTTCTCTGAAACTACTGAGACAAATTTAACCATACTTGGCCATAATCATTATTAGGTTATTTTGGTTTATATCTCTGAAACTAAAGCATTTAGAGCAAATCTGACATGTGGCAAAAATGTTCATTAGATTTAGATTTATCTGCCCTGAAATTTTCAGAGGAATCCGACAACCCGTTGTTGGGTTACTGCCCCTGAGTTAGTAATTTTACAGAAATTTTGCAGTTTTTTGTTATTATCTTAGATTTCATTATAATATCTAATATCTAATACTGTTAATTATGACTTTAACCTTATTTTACATGATTTCCAAAGCATCAGTAAATACAGGTGAGCGACACAGGCTCTTGAGATCCTCTAGTTTTTTTAAGTTGAGTGTATTTTGAAGGTAGATGTCACATTGTTATGTGGAATTTTATGTTTGTTGTGAGAGTTAATTTTTACTTGATCTTGTTTGGGGGTCCAGATTTGCAAATATCATTTTCATTAGATAATAATCTATTTTTATTAAAGGATATATTTCATTGCATTACATTGTGTAGATAAAGTTGGCATTGATAGATAAGTTGCAGATCTATATTAGCTTGTGATAAATGATAGAAAAAATATTGGAAACTTAAATATATAAAGTTTGATTACACTTATTGTTTTTAAATAATATTCACCTGTTTTTAGATAACAAAGCATGTGGTAAATATTGATCACACAATTATAATTGGAGTGAGAGATTTATTTGAAAATGTTCTGTTTTCGAAGTGCTGTTGATGTTAAGCTCTGTAGGATAGTACAAATATAGTTTCAAATTTACTGTTCCTTATTAGACATTCTGAAGATAATCACCAATAAGTTTGATTCTGAAAAGACATTAGATTTTTTTTCTTTTGTTTGAAGAATTTTGTTGGTTATTCTGTATAAACTAATTTTTCTGAATGCTATATACACATATTTTTTTTTATGAAGCGAACTCCTTTTAATACTCTTAAAAATGTATATTTTTGATTTTGGGCCCAGTTTTCAAGTTGGTCAAAATCAGGGTCCATTATTGAACTGTGTTTCATTTCAACATAAATTGGATATATATATATATGTGTGGTTCTTTCAAATGCTAAATCTAAACCTGTATATAAATTATGGATGTTTAGGCCCAGTTTATTAAGTTGGTCAAAAATGAAAGTTTGTTTGATTTCAACTAAAATTGAATTTATGGGGTTCTTTGAAATGCTGTATCTAACCATGTATTGAGAGATTTGGGATTTTGGGTTCCTTTATCAAATTGGTTCACATTGAGTTCCAAAGGTTCCTGAATTAAACTTTTGTCTGATTTTATCAAAAATTGAATTCTTTGGGGTTGATTCTATATTTAATATAAAAGGGAAAAGGCCAATTTCAAATTTTTCAGTTCTTCAGATACATTAATTTTTTGTCATAAACCTATGCTGTGTCAAATATTCAATCACACACCAAATTCATACCTGTTTTAAGCTTAAATGTTATGTCCTTACTTGCTCAACTCTTCAGGGTTAAACCTCTGCAGGAAAACAGCCCATTGTTTTCTATGTTTTGTGTAATGTTGTTTGTGTTTTGGTCGTTTTTATACGACCACAAAAATTAAAAAAAATTTGGTCGTATATTGGTATCTCGTCAGCGTCGTTCGAAGACAGATGGTTTCCGGATAATAACTTTAGTATAAGTCTATAGAAATCAATAAATTTTTAACACAAGGTTTATAACCACTAAAGGAAGATTGGGATTGATTTTGGGGGTTATGGTCCTAACAGTTTAGGAATTATGGGCCAAAAAGAGGCCCCAAAAGGCATTTTTCAAGTTTCATGACAATAACTTGTGTTTAAATGTATGGATCTCTCTGAAATTATACCACAAGTTTCCATACCACAAAGGGATAGTTAGGAATGGCTTTGGAGGGGGGGGTTATGGCTCAAACCGTTTAGGAATTCGGGGAAAAACAAGGGTTTCTTGGTTAATGGACAATAATGACAATTTTAAAGCAGTATAAGGGAGGTAATCCAAACATAATATGTTGGATTACCTCCCTTACACTGCCTTAAAATTATGTATAAAGAAATATTGTATTTTCTTGAGGTGGTAAGCTGTCAATTTACTTTAATGCTGATGTATTAATTTTCTATTATAAGACTTTAAATTAAAAGATGTATTTAAATGAGTAATTATGGTTGCATCTCCAATGGAAATTTGGATTGAAATTATGACCATAACTTGAAGGAAAGAAATTTTATTTTGGAAAAAGGGTGGTGGAGGTGAAAAAAAAATTTGGAGGTAGAGTGGCGTAAAAAAAAAATGGAGGAGGGGGGATACAATTTTTTTTTTTTTCTGGTTGGGGTAAATATGCAACAGCATAATGTATTGCATAAAATCAAAAAAAAGGGGGGTAATTTTTTTTATTTTAGGGAGGGGGGTGGGCAATTCACAACAGCATAGTGTATTAGACAAAAGCAAAAAATTGAGCATATTACCAATTCTAAGTTCTTTGACTACAGTTGTTCTGTGTCCGAAACCTATTATGTGTCAAATATTTAATTACAATCCAAATTCAAACCTGTATCAAGCATGAAAATTGTGTCCATTTTTGCCCCAACGGTTCAGGGTTGGACCTCTGCGGTCGTATCCAGCTGCGCTTGGGTAAGCAATTTATTCATTTTTGCCACAATGATGTCAGTTTATTTTTGGCTAATGAGTCTGAATGTTCCTTTGCTTTCTCTTCTATTTTGAGTAATACTTTTAAAATAAAACACAAACTCATCTCTTTGTCAACAAATCTCACTTACCTTTTCTTAAGTGACAAAATTGTCTATAGTGATCCCTTTCCCATATATTTTCATACACATCGGACTATAATTAGATATAATGCAACAAACATGAAATAAGCCTACATGTATTTGTCATTCTGATTGAATTGTATTGCTATGCACCAGGTTATATTGAAAAGTAAAATAACACAAATACTAAATGAATAAAATAACACAAATACTAAAGTCAAAAGAAAATTCAAAACTGAAAGTATCAAATGGCAAAATCAAAAAACACATAAAAACAACTGTCATATTCCTGACATGTTTTTATACGACCGCAAAAAAATTTTGCGGTTGTATATTGGTATGACGTTGGCTTCCTCGTCCTCGTCGTCGTCGTCGTCCGAAGACACATTGGTTTTCACACTCTAACTTAAGTTTAAGTAAATGGATCTCTATGACATTTTACCATAAGGTTCAATACCACAAAAGGAAGGTTGGGATTGATTTTGGGGGTTATTGTACCAACAGTTAAGGAATATGGGGCCAAAAATAAGCATTTTTGTAACTTCCAGACATATCTTGTGTGTTAGTGTATGGATCTCTCTGACATTGTACCACAAGGTTCCATATCATAAAGGGAATGCTGGGATTGATTTCGGGGTAATTGCCTCCAAATTTTAGGAAAAAGGGGCAAAAAAACAAGCATTTTTCTAGTTTCAGGACAATAACTTGTGTGTAAGTGTATGGATCTTTATGAAATTGTACTACAAGGTTCCATATCACAAAGGGAAAGCTGGGTTTGAGTTTGGGGGTAATTGCTCAAACGTTAAGGAATTTGGGGCCAAAAAAAGGGCCTAAAATCAAGCATTTTTCTAGTTTCCAGACAATTACTTGTGTTCAAGTGTACAGATCTCTCTGAAATTGTACAGCAAGGTACCATACCACAAAGGGAAGGCTGGGATTGATTTTGGGGGTAATTGCCTCAAAAGTTTAGGAATTAGGGGCCAAAAAGGGGCAAAAAAACAAACATTTTTCTAGTTTCGGGACAATAACTTGTGTGTAAGTGTATGGATCTTTATGAAATTGTACTACAAGGTTCCATATCACAAAGGGAAAGCTGGGTTTGAGTTTGGGGGTAATTGCTCAAACGTTAAGGAATTTGGGGCCAAAAAAGGGGCCTAAAATCAAGCATTTTTCTAGTTTCCAGACAATTACTTGTGTTCAAGTGTACAGATCTCTCTGAAATTGTACGGCAAGGTACCATACCACAAAGGGAAGGCTGGGATTAATTTTGGGGGTAATTGCCTCAAAAGTTTAGGAATTAGGGGCCAAAAAGGGGCAAAAAAACAAGCATTTTTTCTATTTTCGGGACAATAACTTGTGTGTAAGTGTATGGATCTTTATGAAATTGTACTACAAGGTTCCATATCACAAAGGGAAAGCTGGGTTTGAGTTTGGGGGTAATTTCCCTGAACATTAAGAATTTGGGGCCAAAAAGGGGCCAAAAAACAAGCGTTTTTAGCTCACCTGACCTGAAAGGTCAAGTGAGCTTTTCTCATCACTTTGCGTCCGTCGTCCGTCGTCCGTAAACTTTTACAAAAATCTTCTCCTCTGAAACTACTGGGCCAAATTTGACCAAACTATGCCACAATCATCATTGGGGTATCTAGTTTAAAAAATGTGTCCGGTGACCTGGCCAACCAACCAAGATGGCCGCCATGGCTAAAAATAGAACATAGGGGTAAAATGTAGAATTTGGCTTATATCTCTGAAACCAAAGCATTTAGAGCAAATCTGACATGGGGTAAAATTGTTTATTAGGTCAAGATCTATCTGCCCTGAAATTTTCAGATGAATCGGACAACCCGTTGTTGGGTTCTGCCCATGAATTGGTAATTTTAAGGAAATTTTGCTGTTTTTGGTTATTATCTTGAATATTATTATAGATAGAGATAAACTGTAAACAGCAATAATGTTCAGCAAAGTAAGATCTACAAATAAGTCAACTTGACCAAAATGGTCAGTTGACCCCTTAAGGAGTTATTGCCCTTTATAGTCAGTTTTTAACCATTTTTCGTAAATTTTTGTAAGTCTTTACAAAAATCTTCTCCTCTGACACTACTAAGACAAATTTAACCAAACTTGTCCCCAATCGTCATTAGGGTATCTAGTTTAAAAAATGTGTCCGATGACCCCGCCCGCGAACCAAGATGGCCGACATGGCTAAAAAATAATACATAGGGTAAAATGCAGTTTTTGGCTCATATCTCTGAAACCAAAGCATTTAGAGCAAATCTGATGAGGATAAAATTGTTCATGAGGTCAAGATCTATTTGCCCTGAAATTTACAGACCAATCAGGCAACACGTTGTTGGGTTGCTGCCCCTGAATTGGTAATTTTAAGAAAATTTTGCCGTTTTTGGTTATTATCTTGAATATTATTATAGATAAAGATAAACTGTAAACAGCAATAATGTACAGCAAAGTTAGATCTACAAATAAGTCAACATGACCAAAATTGTCAATTGACCCCTTAAGGAGTTATTGCCCTTTATAGTCAATTTTTTACAATTTTCATAAATTTTGGCCAAGTTCATTATAGATAGAGATAATAGTAAGGAGAAAGAATGTTCAGTAAAGTAAGATCTACAAACACATCACCATCACCAAAACACAATTTTGTCTTGAATCCATCTGTGTCCTTTGTTTAATATGCACTTAGACCAAGGTGAGCGACACAGGCTCTTTAGAGCCTCTAGTTATATGACCACAAACAAATTTTGAGGTCGTATATTGGTATGACGTTGGCGTCGTCGTCGTTCGAAGACACATTGGTTTTCGCACTCTAACTTTAGTTTAAGTGAATGGATCTCTATGAAATTTTACCATAAGGTTCAATACCACAAAAGGAAGGTTGGGATTGATTTTGGGGGTTATGGTACCAACAGTTAAGGAATTAGGGGCCAAAAATAAGCATTTTTGTAACTTCCAGACATAACTTGTGTGTTAGTGTATGGATCTCTCTGACATTGTACCACAAGGTTCCATATCACAAAGGGAATGCTGGGATTGATTTTGGGGGTAATTGCCTCAAAATTTTAGGAATTAGGGGCCAAAAAAGGGGCAAAAAACAAGCATTTTTCTAGTTTCATGACAATAACTTGTTTGTAAGTGTATGGATCTTTCTGAAATTGTACTACAAGGTTCCATATCACAAAGGGAAAGCTGGAATTGAGTTTGGGGGTAATTGCCCGAAACGTTTAGGAAAAAGGGGCCAAAAATAAGCATTTTTCTAGTTTCCAGACAATAACTTGTGTTCAAGTGTATGAATCTCTCTGAAATTGCACTGCAAGGTACCATACCACTAAGGGAAGGCTGGGATTGATTTTGGGGGTAATTGCCTCAAAATTTTAGGAATTAGGGGCCAAAAAGGGGCAAAAAAACAAGCATTTTTCTAGTTTCAGGACAATAACTTGTGTGTAAGTGTATGGATCTTTATGAATTTGTACTACAAGGTTCCATATCACAAAGGGAAAGCTGGGTTTGAGTTTGGGGGTAATTGCCCTAAACATTTAGTAATTTGGGGCCAAAAAGGGGCCAAAAAACAAGCATTTTTCTAGTTTCCAGACAATAACTTGTGTTCAAGTGTATGGATCTCTCTGAAATTGTACTGCAAGGTACCATACCTCAAAGGGAAGGCTGTTAATGAGTTTTGGGGTGATGAATCATAAGGGGGTTCAAAAAATGGGGGGGGGGGATTTTTTTTTTCCTTTTTTATACAACCGCAAAAAAAATTTTGTGGTCGTATATTGGTATGACGTTGGCGTCGTCGTCATCGTTGTCCGAAGACACATTGGTTTTCACACTCTAACTTTAGTTTAAGTGAATGGATCTCTATGAAATTTTACTATAAGGTTCAATACCACAAAAGGAAGGTTGGGATTTTGAGGGTTATATATGGTACCAACAGTTAAGGAATTAGGGGCCCAAAAGGGGCCAAAAATAAGCATTTTTGTAACTTCCAGACATAACTTGTGTGTTAGTGTATGGATCTCTCTGACATTGTACCACAAGGTTCCATATCACAAAGGGAATGCTGGGATTGATTTTGGGGGTAATTGCATCAAAATTTTAGGAATAAGGGGCCAAAAAAGGGGCAAAAAACAAACATTTTTCTAGTTTCATGACAATAACTTGTGTGTAAGTGTATGGATCTTTCTGAAATTGTACTACAAGGTTCCATATTACAAAGGGAAAGCTGCAATTGAGTTTGGGGGTAATTGCCCAAAACGTTTAGGAATAAGGGGCCAAAAAGGGGCCAAAAATAAGCATTTTTCTAGTTTCCAGACAATAACATGTGTTCAAGTGTATGGATCTCTCTGAAATTGTACAGCAAGGTACCATACAACAAAGGGAAGGCTGGGATTGATTTTGGGGGTAATTGTCTCAAATTTTAGGAATTGGGGCCAAAAAGGGGCAAAAAACAAGCATTTTTCTAATTTCAGGACAATAACTTGTGTGTAAGTGTATGGATCTTTCTGAAATTGTACTACAAGGTTCCATAACACAAAGGGAAAGCTGGGTTTGAGTTTTGGGGTAATTGCCCTAAACGTTTAGGAATTTGGGGCCAAAAAGGGGCCTAAAAACCAGCATTTTTCTAGTTTCATGACAATAACTTGTGTGTAAGTGTATGGATCTTTCTGAAATTGTACTACAAGGTTCCATATCATAAAGAAAAAGCTGGAATTGAGTTTGGGGGTAATTGCCCAAAACGTTTAGGAATAAGGGGCCAAAAATAAGCATTTTTCTAGTTTCCAGACAATAACATGTGTTCAAGTGTATGGATCTCTCTGAAATTGTACAGCAAGGTACCATACCACAAAGGGAAGGCTGGGATTGATTTTGGGGGTGATTGCCTCAAAATTTTAGGAATAAGGGGCCAAAAAGGGTAAAAAAAACAAGCATTTTTAGCTCACCTGGCCCAGAGGGCCAAGTGAGCTTTTCTCATCACTTGGCGTCCGTTGTCCGTCGTCCGTCGTCGTCGTCCGTTAACTTTTACAAAAATCTTCTCCTCTGAAACTACTAGGCCAAATTTAACCAAACTTGGCCACAATCATGATTAGGGTATCTAGTTAAAAAAATGTGTCCGATGACCCCGCCTGCCAACCAAGATGGCCGCCATGGCTAAAAATAGAACATAGGGGTAAAATGCAGTTTTTGGCTTATATCTCTGAAACCAAAGCATTTAGAGCAAATCTGACAGGGGTAAAATTGTTTATCAGGTCAAGATCTATCTGCTCTGAAATTTTCAGATGAATTGGACAACCCATTGTTGGGTTGCTGCCCCTGAATTGGTAATTTTAAGGAAATTTTGCCGTTTTTGGTTATTATCTTGAATATTATTATAGATAGAGATAAACTGTAAAGGAGTTATTGCCCTTTATAGTCAATTTTTAACCATTTTTCGTAAATTTTTGTAATCTTTTACAAAAATCTTCTCCTCTGAAACTACTGAGACAAATTTAACCAAACTTGTCCACAATCATCATTAGGGTATCTAGTTTAAAAAATGTGTCTGATGACCCCGCCCGCGAACCAAGATGGCCGACATGGCTAAAAAATAGTACATAGGGTAAAATGCAGTTTTTGGCTCATATCTCTGAAACCAAAGCATTTAGAGCAAATCTGATGAGGATAAAATTGTTCATTAGGTCAAGATCTATCTGCCCTGAAATTTTCAGACCAATTAGGCAACCCGTTGTTGGGTTGCTGCCCTTGAATTGGTAATTTTAAGGTAATTTTGCCGTTTTTGGTTATTATCTTGAATATTATTATAGATAGAGATAAACTGTAAACAGCAATAATGTACACCAAAGTAAGATCTACAAATAAGTCAACATGACCAAAATGGTCAGTTGACCCCTTAAGGAGTTATTGCCCTTTATAGTAAATTTTTAACCATTTTTTGTAAATTTTTGTAATTTTTTACAAAAATCTTCTCCTCTGAAACTACTAAGACAAATTTAACCAAACTTGTCCACAACCATCATTAGGGTATCTAGTTTAAAAAATGTGTCCAATGACACCGCCCGCGAACCAAGATGGCCGACATGGCTAAAAAATAATACATAGGGTAAAATGCAGTTTTTGGCTCATATCTCTGAAACTAAAGCATTTAGAGCAAATCTGTCGAGGTTATAAATTGTTCATTAGGTCAAGATCTATCTGCCCTGAAATTTTCAGACCAATTAGGCAACACGTTGTTGGCTTGCTGCCCCTGAATTGGTAATTTTAAGAAAATTTTGCAGCTTTTGGTTATTATCTTGAATATTATTATAGATAGAGATAAACTGTAAACAGCAATAATGTACAGCAAAGTTAGATCTACAAATAAGGCAACATGACCAAAATTGTCAATTTACCCCTTAAGGAGTTATTGCCCTTCATAGTCAATTTTTTAAAATTTTCATAAATTTTGTAAATTTTTGTTAATTTTTACAAAGTATTTTCCACTGTAACTACCGGGCCAAGTTCATTTTAGATAGAGATAATAGTAAGGAGCAAGAATGTTCAGTAAAGTAAGATCTACAAACACATCACCATCACCAAAACACAATTTTGTCATGAATCCATCTGTGTCCTTTGTTTAATATGCACATAGACCAAGGTGAGCGACACAGGCTCTTTAGAGCCTCTAGTTCTAATTTCAGGACAATAACTTGTGTGTAAGTGTATGGATCTTTATGAAATTGTACTACAAGGTTCCATATCACAAAGGGAAATCTGGGTTTGAGTTTTGGGGTAATTGCCCTAAACGTTTAGGAATTTATGGCCTAAAAGGGGCCTAAAAACAAGCATTTTTAGCTCACCTGACCTGAAAGGTCAAGTGAGCTTTTCTCATCACTTTGCGTCCGTCGTCCTGCATCCGTCATCCGTTGTCCGTAAACTTTTACAAAAATCTTCTCCTCTGAAACTACTGGGCCATATTTGACCAAACTTGGCCACAATCATCATTGGGGTATCTAGTTTAAAAAATGTGTCCGATGACCCTGCCAACCAACCAAGATGGCCGCCATGGCTAAAAATAGAACATAGGGGTAAAATGTAGATATTGGCTTATATCTCTGAAACCAAAGCATTTAGAGCAAATCTGACATGGGGTAAAATTGTTAATCAGGTCAAGATCTATCTGCCCTGAAATTTTCAGATGAATCGGACAACCCGTTGTTGGGTTGCTGCCCCTGAATTGGTAATTTTAAGGAAATTTTGCCGTTTTTGGTTATTATCTTGAATATTATTATAGATAGAGATAAACTGTAAACAGCAATAATGTTCAGCAATGTATGATCTACAAATAAGTCAACTTGACAAAAATGGTCAGTTGACCCCTTAAGGAGTTATTGCCCTTTATAGTCAATTTTTAACCATTTTTCGTAAATTTTTGTAATCTTTTACAAAAATCTTCTCCTCTGAAACTACTAAGACAAATTTAACCAAAATTGTCCCCAATCATCATTAGGGTATCTAGTTTAAAAAATGTGTCCGATGACCCTGCCCGCAAACCAAGATGGCCGACATGGCAAAAAAAAATACAATGGGTAAAATGCAGTTTTTGGCTCATATCTCTGAAACCAAAGCATTTAGAGCAAATCTGTAGCGGTTAAAAATTGTTCATTAGGTCAAGATCTATCTGCCCTGAAATTTTCAGACCAATCAGGCAACACGTTGTTGGGTTGCTGCCCCTGAATTGGTAATTTTAAGAAAATTTTGCAGCTTTTGGTTATTATCTTGAATATTATTATATTTAGAGATAAACTGTAAACAGCAATAATGTACAGCAAAGTTAGATCTACAAATAAGTCAACATGACCAAAATTGTCAATTGACCCCTTAAGGAGTTATTGCCCTTTATAGTCAATTTTTTACAATTTTCATAAATTTTGTAAATTTTTGTAAATTTTTACAAAATATTTTCCACTGTAACTACTGGGCCAAGTTCATTATAGATAGAGATAATAGTAAGGAGCAAGAATGTTCAGTAAAGTAAGATCTACAAACACATCACCATCACCAAAACACAATTTTGTCATGAATCCATCTGTGTCCATTGTTTAATATGCACATAGACCAAGGTGAGCGACAAAGGCTCTTTAGAGCCTCTAGTTCTAGTTTCCAGACAATAACTTGTGTTCAAGTGTATGGATCTCTCTGAAATTGTACTGCAAGGTACCGTACCACAAAGGGAAGGCTGGGATTGAGTTTGGGGGTGATGAATCATAAGGGGGTTCAAAAAATTTGGGGGAGGGATTTTTTTTTCCTTTTTTTTTCTTTAAAATTTTCCATTTTAAATTGGTTATTTCTTATTTATATATAAAAGCAAATAATGATGATATGGTTTGAATAGGTAAATTAAAAATTTTTAAGTTCTTAGACCACATTCATTCTGTGTCAGAAACCTATGCTGTGTCAAATATTTAATCACAATCTAAATTCAGTGCTGTATCAAGCTTGAATGTTGTGTCCATACTTGCCCCAACTGTTCAGGGATAGACCTCTGCGGTCGTATCAAGCTGCGCCCAGTGGAGCATTTTATTTCCTTTTTTTTCTTTAAAATTTTCCATTTTAAATTGGTTATTTCTGATTTATATATAAAAGCAAATAATAATGATATGGTTTGAATAGGTAAATTAAAATTTTCTTAGACCACATTCATTCCGTGTCAGAAACCTATGCTGTGTCAAATATTAAATCACAATCCAAATTCAGAGCTGTATCAAGCTTGAATGTTGTGTCCATACTTGCCCAAACTGTTCAGGGTTCAACCTCTGCGGTCGTATCAAGCTGCACCCCAGCGGAGCATTTTATTTCTACATTGGCTAGAGGTATAGGGGGAGGGTTGAGATCTCAAAAAACATGTTTAACCCCGCTGCATTTTTGCGCCTGTCCCAAGTCAGGAGCCTCTGGCCTTTATTAGTCTTGTATCATTTTTAATTTTAGTTTCTTGTGTATAATTTGGAGTTTAGTATGACGTCCATTATCACTGAACTAGTATACATATTTGTTTAGGGGCCAGCTGAAGGACGCCTCCGGATGTGGGAGTTTCTCGCTGCATTGAAGACCCATTGGTGGCCTTCGGCTGTTGTCTGCTCTATGGTCGGGTTGTTGTCTCTCTGACACATTCCCCATTTCCATTCTCAATTTTATTTTTATGGTAGGAAATGTTGGATTGAATCTAGTTTTATATCTAGCTAAACCTCCCACAGTCACAAAGAACTTCATTATTTCAACAACAAAGTGTGAGCAAAACAAATAGACATATTTTAATAGGTAGAAATGTTTATAAAAATTTGGGTACCTTTAAAGTCATATGAAACCTCAAATTAAATCAAAGTACTGAAGTACTGAACATCGGATGACCACAAGTTCTTGTGGATGGTCAAAAGCACTTGTCACAGAAAAAAATCACATCTCCATACTTGAAACTGAGGTTAATGTACAGAGATACATTATTTTTTTTTAACAAGTTCGTGCGTGGATGATGAATAAATGACAGGAAGTTCAACCTCACCGTAATAACTATTATATTGTAGCGATACAAATCAGTATACACTGGTTCTATATTATATTAGTATAACAGTATAAACATGTATATATAATTTTCATCCATTTGTATATCATTCTATTCTACTATTCCAATAATAGTGCATTGCAAGTGCATGGTGGACACTCTTCTGTAAAAATTTGATTTTTTTAAAGAATGGATATAAGTAGGAATTCATATTTTCCCTCAAAAACAATTACAGAGTTACCGGTCCTTGCCAGGATTGTCGCAAAACGTTCTTGAGATATTCTTCCGCATGCTTTAACACAATTTTTCTGTACGTATGCATAGATATTATCATTGATTTTTATGCCCCATTTATGGGCATTATGTTTTCTGGTCTGTGTGTTTGTTCTTTCTTTCGTTCGTTCGTTCGTCCGTCCGTCTGTTCCGCTTCAGGTTAAAGTTTTTTGTCGAGGTAGTTTTTGATGAAGTTGAAGTCCAATCAACTTGAAACTTAGTACACATGTTCCCTATGATATGAAAGTTGAAGTCCAATCAACTTGAAACTTAGTAAACATGTTCCCTATGATATGATCCTTCTAATTTTAATGCCAAATTATAGTTTTCACCCCATTTTCACGGTCCACTGAACATAAAAAATGATGGTGCGGATGGGGCATCCGATTACTAGGAACACATTCTTGTTTACTTGTATACGTATATATATATATCTAACGACAAAACATTTTCATATTATTAATTTATGTTCTGAACAAAAATATTTTTATCAGTATTCATTGAAGAGATGTATTTATAACAAACAATAAAGGAATGTTAGTTTGCACTAGGTAATATCCACGTATTAATCATCTTTATAGATCGGTTACAAACCCAAAACAAAAGTTATGTATGCAATAGCACACAATAGGCGATAGCAATACATCGGAATGCCCTCACGGTCATCTCGATGTAAAAAAAATGATGCATATGTTTTTTATAACTAAATGGATAGTTTTCATTATAAAACTTATGTACATATACTTTTTTTCTGAAGAAAATTCTTTAATTTGTCCACATTTAGAAGAAGTTTACTTTTTTTTAATTGCTTGCTTCCAGGAAGCAATTCACCGACATATTTTCTGTATGCAAATGACCTTAGCGTGACCCTTCTTGTAAAAATCTGGTGATCGCAATACGCATGTATCTGGTCATTGAAATAAACTATTATCTGATTGTACATGTTATACACGTGCTCAATATCCATGCTTCTTTGTTGATTGTTTAATATAAGATGCCAATCGGTAAACTGCGGCTTCAAAATACTACAATTGATTAGCTGCCATATTTTCACATCTTAACAGACAGTGAGAAAAAAAAGGACGATTATACGATATGTTTGCAAAAAAAATGATAAAATCGTGCACAGAAGACTAAGTTTATGATATCTACATGCATTGGTTTAAGAATTGGATAAACATTATTTTTCACCAGTCACTCGTTTCATATGACTTTAATGATTAGTATGATGTATTTCAGAAAATAAACATGAGTGAGTTACTGAAGATTTATATAGATTTTGACTTGTTAGAAGATGGAGTCCTGTTGACGATGGAATATATTGATGCTATTGTTGATTCTTTAACTGGTCAAGAAAGAACTCAGTTTGGTTTAAAGGTAGGGAATATTAAACCTAGTTGAATTTGTTTCTTTTCAATGTTGACTGAAATATTTTAAAACTTCATCCTTCTCATTGTATTCTGTGTGGTAGTGCTAACTGACAGTTGATAATTGTGTGGTAGTACTAATTGACAGTTGTCAATTGTGTGGTAGTACTAACTGACTGTTGTCAAGTCTGTGGTAGTACAAACTGACAGTTGTCAATTGTGTGGTAGTACTAACTGACAGTTGTCAATTGTGTGGAAGTACTAACTGACAGTTGTCAATGGTGTGGTAGTACTAACTGACTGTTGTCAATGGTGTGGTAGTACTAACTGACAGTTGTATTTTGTGTGGTAGTACTAACTGACTGTTGTCAATTGTGTAGACTTGTATTCTGTGTGGTAGTACTAACTGACAGTTGTCAATTGTGTAGACTTGTATTCTGTGTGGTAGTACTAACTGACAATCGTCAATTGTGTAGACTTGTATTCTGTGTGGTAGTACTAACTGACAGTTGTCAATTGTGTAGACTTGTATTCTGTGTGGTAGAACTAACTGACTGTTGTCAATTGTGTAGACTTGTATTCTGTGTGGTAGTACTAACTGACAGTCGTCAATTGTGTAGACTTGTATTCTGTGTGGTAGTACTAACTGACAGTTGTCAATTGTGTAGACTTGTATTCTGTGTGGTAGAACTAACTGACTGTTGTCAATTGTGCAGACTTGTATTCTATGTGGTAGTACTAACTGACAGTTGTCAATGGTGTGGTAGCACTAACTGACTGTTGTCAATGGTGTGGTAGTACTAACTGACAGTTATATTTTGTGTGGTAGTACTAACTGACTGTTGTCAATTGTGAAGACTTGTATTCTGTGTGGTAGTACTAACTGACAGTTGTATTTTGTGTGGTAGTACTAACTGACTGTTGTCAATTGTGTAGACTTGTATTCTGTGTGGTAGTACTAACTGACTGTTGTCAATTGTGTAGACTTGTATTCTGTGTGGTAGTACTAACTGACAATCGTCAATTGTGTAGACTTGTATTCTGTGTGGTAGTACTAACTGACAGTTGTCAATTGTGTAGACTTGTATTCTGTGTGGTAGAACTAACTGACTGTTGTCAATTGTGTAGACTTGTATTCTGTGTGGTAGTACTAACTGACAGTCGTCAATTGTGTAGACTTGTATTCTGTGTGGTAGTACTAACTGACAGTTGTCAATTGTGTAGACTTGTATTCTGTGTGGTAGAACTAACTGACTGTTGTCAATTGTGCAGACTTGTATTCTATGTGGTAGTACTAACTGACAGTTGTCAATGGTGTGGTAGCACTAACTGACTGTTGTCAATGGTGTGGTAGTACTAACTGACAGTTATATTTTGTGTGGTAGTACTAACTGACTGTTGTCAGTTGTGAAGACTTGTATTCTGTGTGGTAGTACTAACTGACAGTTGTCAATTGTGTAGACTTGTATTCTGTGTGGTAGTACTAACTGACTGTTGTCAATTGTGTAGACTTGTATTCTGTGTGGTAGTACTAACTGACAGTTGTCAATTGTGTAGACTTGTATTCTGTGTGGTACTACTAACTGACAGTTGTCAATTGTGTAGACTTGTATTCTGTGTGGTAGTACTAACTGACAGTTGTCAATTGTGTAGACTTGTTTTCTGTGTGGTAGTACTAACTGACAGTCGTCAATTGTGTAGACTTGTATTCTGTGTGGTAGTACTAACTGCCAGTTGTCAATTGTGTAGACTTGTATTCTGTGTGGTAGAACTAACTGACTGTTGTCAATTGTGCAGACTTGTATTCTATGTGGTAGTACTAACTGACAGTTGTCAATGGTGTGGTAGCACTAACTGACTGTTGTCAATGGTGTGGTAGTACTAACTGACAGTTATATTTTGTGTGGTAGTACTAACTGACTGTTGTCAATTGTGAAGACTTGTATTCTGTGTGGTAGTACTAACTGACAGTTGTATTTTGTGTGGTAGTACTAACTGACTGTTGTCAATTGTGTAGACTTGTATTCTGTGTGGTAGTACTAACTGACAGTTGTCAATTGTGTAGACTTGTATTCTGTGTGGTAGTACTAACTGACAATCGTCAATTGTGTAGACTTGTATTCTGTGTGGTAGTACTAACTGACAGTTGTCAATTGTGTAGACTTGTATTCTGTGTGGTAGAACTAACTGACTGTTGTCAATTGTGTAGACTTGTATTCTGTGTGGTAGTACTAACTGACAGTCGTCAATTGTGTAGACTTGTATTCTGTGTGGTAGTACTAACTGACAGTTGTCAATTGTGTAGACTTGTATTCTGTGTGGTAGAACTAACTGACTGTTGTCAATTGTGCAGACTTGTATTCTATGTGGTAGTACTAAC